AAAAAAAAAAGAAAGAAAGAAAGAAAAAAGAAAAAAGTCTTGTACAATATAACAAATTAATTTATCAGGCCTGTTTTCGTGTTCCTAAATCAGTTAGGCCAAGTCTCAGATCAAAAGAGGCAAACTGCATCCTGAGATAACTATTGAGGTTTTCCAGTACAAAGATTCTTTTCCCTGTAGACCAGACTGGGAGTGCATTTTGGTATTTCATTCTTGTCTGCTAATGGTTTATAAATTATGTAACTCTTAAGTATCTTGTGAAACGGGGCCGAGCAGTTAGTTAAGAGCACCACTTATGGTGACTCACAGCTGCAGCTGTGGTGGGAGGGTCCGGTGTTCTCTTCTGGTCTCCGGACATACACAGACACACGGATAATTCAAATAGCAAATCTTTATTTTATTTTCAAAGATTTATTTATGCATATGAGTGCTCTATTTACATGTATGCCTTCATGACAAAATAGGGCATCAGATCCTGTTACAAATGGTTGTGAGCCACCATGTGGATGCTAGGAATTGAAATCAGGATCTCTGGAAGAGCAGCCAGTGCTGTCAGGCACCAAGTGATCTATTTTAGAGGGTTTTGCCTTTTGGGGTTTGTTTTTTAAATAGGCTCTCAAGTTGCCCTAGAACTTATCTTCTGCTTCAGCATGATATTTTGTTGTTGTTTGTTTGTTTGTTTGCTTGCTTGTTTTTGTTTTTCGAGACAGGCTTTCTCTGTGTACCTTTGCAGACTAGGTTGGCCTCCAGATCAGCCTGCTGCTGCCTCGGGAGTGCTGGAATGAAATGGCATCCACTATCACCGCCAACCACTGTCGCACTTGTACCAAATGGCTTTATAAAAGCTGGAGACAGCCAGGCGTTGGTGGTGCACGCCTTTAATCCCAGCACTGGTGAGTCAGAGGCAGGCGAATCTGAGTTCGAGGCCAGCCTAGAGAACGAGTTCCAGAACAGCCTTCAGGGTCACAGAGAAACCCTGTCTTGAAAAAGCCAAAACCAAAAAACCCGAAAGATGGAGACATTTGCAGGCATAAACCAACTTCTAAATTCAAACCTTTAAGGTCCCACTTTGCAGGGCATGAAAAAGCCTAAGTTACAATCAAGACCTATTTTTCCTCTATTTTATTTCTTACATTCCAATCCCAGTTGACCCTCCCATACTCTGCACGGAGAGGGGTAAGGCCTCCCATAGGAAGTCTACTAAGTCTGTCCCATCATAATGGAGACTTGTTTTTTTCAGGGCTCGCTATGCCTGCTAATAATGGTTTGGACCAAATACCACAAAGGCAACAAGAAATCAGGTCAATTGTCAGACGACCAGATAGACATGTTTAGATGAGGAAACATCACTGCTGGTTAACACAAGTAGTTTAAGTACTTCACTCCCAAGGATACCACACCTATAGAGGGCCTACATGCCCTCTGATGGTTACTGTGGCCTCTTTATGGGACCAGTTCTAAAAGCTAGTCAGAAATGACTTCACTGGCCAGGCGTGGTGGTTCATGCCTTTAATCCCAGCACTAGGGAGCAGAGGCAGCCTGACCTACAGAGTGAGTTTACCAGGACAACCTCTAAATCAATACAGAGAAACCCTGTCTCAGGAAGAAAAAAAAAATTCACTGTATACAGGTTTTAGGCAAAATCTCAATTTTGTACAAGACTGTAATGTGCAACAGATGTACAGCCTACACTGAATGATATTAAAAACTAAAAATGTTGTTCTTTCTGCACCCCTGATGACCTGATACCCAGAACCCCATTATTTCTTTCTAAGTGTCATGCCACCACTCATTCTACAAAGGGGGAGGGGAGATCTTGGAAACATTCACAATTAAGATTCACACAAATTGTTTCTCTGTATCTTTGATCAGGTTTATTCAAATAGGCTGTCTCTCTTTGCTCTATGGAATGAAACAGACTTTAATAATTCTAAGCAGCAGGCTTTGTTTCCTCTGTGGTAGGTTTCTTCTCTACTGCTTTCTTCCCAGCTGCTGGTTTCTTGGTAGTTGCAGCCTTTTTCCCTGCAGGCTTCTTCAGCTTCTCGACATCCACAGGCTTCTTTTCTTTCTTACTCTTCTACTGACTTCTGGTCTGCTGCCCCTTTCTCTGATTTTGCTGCTAGCGCTGCTGCTCCCTTTCTCTGATTTTGCTTCTAGCGCCGCCGCCGCCGCCGCCGCCGCCGCTGCTGCTGCTGCGAGTTTCTTCACCCGCAGTTTGTGCTGCAACATAGACAAGTAGGAAATTAAGAATTAAATGCTCAACTTTATATACCAGTACTTGAGAGAGAGGAAGAATCTGTCAGTTTAAGAGGTGCCTGGTCTTTTTATTATTATTATTTCTCCTCATATCCCCTGCACTCAGAACTTTGTAAATGCACTGAACAGTCTAGTAAATGAAGACAAGCAAACATGAGTCGGTTAATGGGAGGCTCCTGATGTTGGAAAGGAAGAGATTCTTGAGATGACAATTCCAAGAGCAACGCCCAAGCACCCCTGGATTGTACCAAGTGAACAACTCACAGGCATCCTGGCCAAATCAGCCATGGGTTTTCCCTCCCATCTACCCTTCTAAGACAGGGATCTAACTATGTAGTCCCTGTGGCCTCAGGCTTGAAACTCCTGACTCAATCTTAGTACTGGCATCACAGGTGTGCATCAACACACTCATTAAGTATTTTTTTCCCTTCCTTGTTTTTGTTTTTTTGTTTGTTTGTTTTTCATTTTATTTTATGCGTGTACATTGGGGAAGCTGTAGCCACACCTACTTAGGGGCTGGCTACAGGTGTGCCTGACCACGCTCTCACAAGCTTGCGAGGGCGTGGTCAGGGGACATAGGGTGACTGTGTTTTCGCTTTCTCTTTTGGGCTTGCATACATACTGCTGCCACGCCGGCTGGCTAGGTCACTCTGTAAGTAAGGCTTTTCCCTATTAAATACCCTTATATTTCTACCTGACTCCGTATTGGTAATTTCCCACTATATGTGTGTTTTGTCTTCATGTATGTCTGTGTCCACAAAGGAGGGTGTCAGATCCCTTGAACTTCGGGTTACAGATGGTTATGAGCTGTCTTATGGGTGCTGGGAACTGAACCCAGGTCCTCTGCAAGAGCAGCCACTGAGCCATCTCAGCTGCCCGTAATTACTTTTTTTTTTAAAGTTTTATTTTATGTATGAGAGTTCTGGCTGTATTATCACTTTATGCAGAAGAGGGCATCAGATCCAACTATAGAATAGATGGTTGTGAGCCACCATGTGCTTGATAAGAATTGAACTCAAGACCTCTGGAAGAACAGCTAGTGTTCTTAACCACTAGACATCTCTCCAGCCCTCATAACTACTTCCTTAAGTAGAATAAATAAACCCCAATGTTAAGGAAACCTGGCAGCACTTACCTCATTGACTATATAATCCAACAACTCAAAAATTGCCATGGGAGGTCGGCTGTCCATTCCATATGCTACAGATTATAAAGAAGAAAAAGAAAAAAAATTGTATATACAGATAAGAAACTCCTTGTCAATATGAGTCAAGGGGTTGAGCACGATCATCAATAAAAAGCTACTCTGGACAAGGCCTAAACATGGAAGGAATCCAGAAGGCCAGGCTTTCAGTCTGGGCTCACTAACATCCTAGATGTGTGACCTCAGGTAAGTCAGTTGACCACTGGGGCAAAATACAGAGTTTTGGAGTGGAAATCAAGTGACAATTCATCTTCCCATCCTTACATTTACAGAGCAGCCAATATTTGGGCTTGGCTTTTGTACACTGCATAGGTAGAGCCAACAGTCTCACAAGTGCTAGAGAAGCTCTACCACTAAGCCACACTTTCAAGCTCAGAACTTGTTAATTCTTCCTTTCCTACCCTAAGATCATAAGCCAGCTCTATCAATGGTTGGTTACCAGCACTGATGCCTCTCCCTTCATGCACTTGTTCAGCCACATGGTATCATCAGGATAAAGACCAGGACTCCCTGGTCAGAAGGGAACTCCCAGCACAAGTCACATAAAATTGAAAAGGCTGGCCAGGTATGGTGGCACACGTATTTAATCCCAGCACTCATGAGGCAAAGACAGGGGCAATTTCTGGGAGTAGGGGCTAGCCTGTTTTACACAGAAAGGTACATGGTACCTCAAAAAAAAAGGCTTGTATGAGAACACTCCCTAAGAGCCAGGCATCTCAGGGTACATCACTCAGAAGCATGTGGTGCTGCGGTTTATGCCTTAGCAGTCAGACTGGCCACTTCTTACAAGTCTGTGTGGTGTGTAGCCTTGGCAAGAAAAATCACACTAAATCAAAATAAAGTCTTTTTTTCAAGAAACCTTGTCTCGAAAAAACCAAAAAAAAAAAAAGAAAATAAAAAGAGACATTGAAGTTCTTTGTTCTTAACCCTCAAGAATCTTTAAAATTTCAGTGTCTCCAACTGTTGTATCCTTTTACAGCACTGATAAAGATTCAAAATGATTCTCCTAATCCAGTATTATTAAATGCTAAATATATTATGCATCTTCTCAAAGTAATGAAAGTACTCCAAGTATCACACTTTGCAAATATTTTCTTTTATATCTAACAGAACAGGCTAGTTCTATGAGGTCAGAACTTTTCAGCACATGCTGTTATGTCATACAAATAAAGAATAACAAATCCAAGGAAAAAAAATCTTGTCCTGTGTAAATCTATTCACCACATATACCCTAAGTGTTCTTTATAAGGAATGAGCTCTGTGCTCGTTCTTCTTAAAGCAGAGATTATAACAGTGCACATGAGCAAACTGGTTTTAAAGTTAGAGCATGTTAGGCAGATGCCTGAAAACGGGAAGTGAGTAGATCAGAGGTTGCCAGGAGCTGGCCTTGGGGGAAAGTAAGAGTGACTGGCAATGGGGAAAGATGATCTGGGGGTGATGGAAATGTTCCTGAAAGATTGGGGTGGTGGTAGCAGCTGTACAACAGAGAAGTATATACTACAAACCACTTAACTATAATGTATACTTAAACATACACTTTCTGTTATGTCAATCTTATCTTAATTGAAAAAGAAATCCACAGTATTAAAAAGCAAACTAGCCAGGCATTGGTGGCACATACCTTTAATCCAAGCACTCGGGAGGCAGAGGCAGATGGATCTCTGTGAGTTCGAGGCCAGCCTGGTATACAGAGCAAGTTCCAGGACAACTTCCAAAGCAATACGGAGAAACCCTGTCTCAAAAAACCAAAACAAAAAACAACAAAAAAAGCAAACTAATATTGCTAAATGCTAAGCATGGCACCTAGATCACAGCAAGTCATCAACAAACAGCAAGTGTTTTGGGGAAGAACAATTGTTTTCTGCACCCACCTAAGGACCCTTGCTGCTCCTCGAAGACCCAGCCTGACAACCCAAGAGAAGCAGCCACCCAGAAATCCCCAATAGATTCCCCACAGTCCTAACTGGGGACAGCAGGCCACTCACAGCTAAGGGGCCTCCCAGGGGTCCTCGGCCTGGGTGGCGTTTCGGCTGCATCTCCCTCCACCTGGCATCCAAACAGCAGCTCCAGTTCCTTGGCATCAGGAGGAGGGATGGGGTATCTCCCAACTGCCATCTCCACCAGAGAGAGCCCCATGCTCCAGATGTCCGACTGCACGGAGTAGTGAGTCCCCTGGAGTCTCTCGGGCTACGGGAAGAGAGATGGTCATACCTCTTGGACATAACCCCTACACAGGAAGTAAGGGCTGCTGGCTCCCTAGCCCTAGCTATCCCCACCTCTTACATAGGAACCATCATCTCTACTGATGGAACAACTGCAGGAATGGACTGAGACACTCAAGGGTATGAAAGCTCTTAGACTGAGCATGAAACACTGCACCAGGCCTGTCCTTACCATCTGGCCCCACACTTCTCCCTTGGTTCTGTAAAAGCTACCCATACTCTAAATCTTCCTGTACATTGCCTCTGAAGCATTCCCCGAAGACTTCCATCTTTCCCTACAATACTTTGAAATGGGCTATCCAAAGACCCTCTCATTCAGTCAACCTCACAGCACCCATTCACCAGCCATCCTAACATCCTCAATGTGCCAGACCCCTGCCAGGCCCTAGGAAAGACACTTGGATGTCCTAAAAGCTTGAGGTTCGGGAAAGTGGAAAGTTCCATGATGGCATGACCACGGACATGGGGACAGCTGTGTACAGTACTCAGGTGACAGTGGGAGCCAGAAGAGCTGGGCTCAGGAGGGTGGAATGCCAAGGTGGGGTGCTGGCTGGACCAGAGCAGACTCTAACCAGAGGCTGGATGGAAGGCAGGTAAATGACCCACAGACATGCAGTGAAGACAGAGGAAAGAGGGAGGGAAGGGGCAGAATGGAGGAAACTATCCCAAACAGACTCTCCAAGCAGGGCCACTAGAGGATAAAAGGATGGGGACTAGCAGTGGGGCAGCTGGGGTGTGGTCATGTCTGAGTATCTTGGTTTGAGGGTCTGACAATCAGGTAAGATGTCAGGTGGCTTCTCAGTCTCTTCAGAATGGAAGCCAGACTCTGGAGTAAGGACAGCACAATCTCTTCTCGTGCCTGAGACTCCAATTATGTGTGAACATTTGTGAAAGGAAGTCACCTGCTCTCTCCCAGAGGCACACTGTACCTCATCCCTCATTTCTCAATCCCTATCCATCACCATGCAACACAAATCTGTGGCTCCATGGTCTATAAAATGTGGCTGCTTATGCTAAGAATGAAGCCCTGAAGAGGCCCTGAAGAAAGGAAACTTCAGTTCATACCGACATGTATGATCTTGTGCTACAAAGGAGTTGGCCATGGAGTCAATTAGCTGCCCGCTGACCCCAAAATCACAGAGTCTGATTTCTCCACGGGAGTTTACTAGAAGATTGGAAGGCTTGACATCTGTGAAGAGAAAACAGGAAATAAGAAAATTAACAAGGTGGTTTGAGAGGGGAAGGGTCGAAGGTTGGGGCATTAGAGACTATTCCTGGCTACATAATGAGAGAGGCCCTATCTAAAACAAACACTGACCCAGAAGGGGTCAGTTACCATAAACAGGAGCAGGGCACGCCTGTTCTTGGGAGGCAGAGCCAGGCAGACCTTTGAGTTTGAGGCTAGCCTGATCTACAAAGCCAGTTTGAGAACAGCCAGAGCTACATAAAGAAACCCTGTCTCTATAGTCCAAAATTAAAAGAAAAAAAAAGATTTTAAATTCTGTTACTTCAGACACCCCCTAATATCAAGACATAGTATATGACTACTGATAAGACTAAAAAGAATGGCTGTAAGATCCCCCTTCCTCAGCTTCCAGTACTGGGATCGCAGATGTGTGTCACCAAACAAAGCTGATTTACTCATTTTTTTTTCCTTCCTAAGTTTTTTAAGAGAGGGTTTCTCTGTGTAGTCCTACAATATCTGCCCTATAATATCTCTCTTAGTCCCTTCCCTGAGCCAGTTAGCCCGAATCATCTTCAACCTTACTTCATACCAGCTCCAGCAAGGTAGGGAGGGAGATCAGTTTGTCTCACCTTGTTAAAGCCCAAGACAATATGAACCCCACAGAATGGGCATATCTACATTCACTGTAGATGTGCATCTGATACACAAAGCATACCATAGTGTGTACCTCTAAGGAGCCAGAAACCTCTCTGCAACTCTGCCTCCCACAGAGGCCCTCAGAGTTCAAGCACTAGGAGGAATCTTTTTTTTGGGGGGGGGTAGTTCAAGACTGGGCTTCTCTATGTAGCTCTGGAAGCTATCCTGGAACTCTGTGTAGACCAGTCTGTCCTCGAACTCACAGGGATCCGCCTGCCTCTGGGATTAAAGGTGTGCACCACCACCACCTGGCTCACTATAAGGAATCTTAAATGCATCAGGTTCTTCCCCCACTTCCAGTGCAGATCTAAGGGCCTGGGGATTATTTGAGGTCACAGAGATGCCCTTTGTCTAGCATCCTACCACTTTCCTAGCTTCCATTTTCCTCAACAGTCTCTCACCACTGGTCACTGAACACCTGCCTCAAACAGGCACCCGGCACTACCAGGGAAAGAACGGGAACTTGCTGCCAAGTTCCCAGTAATGTCCAGCTCACATGCTACTGGTGTGAGGAGATGAGTCAATGAATAAGTGCATACATAATACTAGGTAGTCCACAGCCAGGTGACAGCAGAAAGGAATGCACTATGTGCAGGTGTGCGGACACACCCACAAGGATTTACGACTGGAGAGCTACTTTAACAATAGGTGGGAGGCGAGAGGCTAGCTGTCCCTTCTCCAACAGCAGCTTACAAGAGGCTCTTCTTATAAGCAGAGACCTCATAAGAGGACAGACCTCATAGGTCACGTGCTCAGGATATGGGACCAACCTAGGAAGATCAGGGGTGTGATGTGCCCATAGGGCCTGGTAGGGGTAGCACATACATAGGAGGCTCTCAACATGAGCCTTCTCCTCAATACCCCTCACACATCTCAGATGCCTCCCATGGCCTTTCTGATATGACCTGAAGCAAAAGAGGAACACTGGCTTGGAAACTGTCACCTACACTACATACAGTCTTGAGCAAGTCCACTTGGTTTCTCTGACCAGGGCAGCTTACACCACAGAGTAGAGGCCTAATCCACATATGTACTATACATACACCATCTCCAGAGGTGGTTACCTTGACCTCCTAAGGTCATAGCATCCCCTCCTGGGTGGCTGCATTTGCTGGCATTGCTGCTTCTCTCCCTCCACACTGCAGTTGCTGCTCTCCAAGGCTGAGCTGCCTCTAGCTGTCTTAGCATCTTATTGCTATTCACATGGCCAGCAGGCCTCTGCATTTAAGCTTACATAATCCTGCTCTCCCTTCTGAGCTCCAGCTTCAGCCTCTTAGATCCATCCCAGGCTGCAGAGATGAAGGGAGATAATGAGAGTAGGATACTCTGAAGGGCTTTACCCTGTTCGGACCCTTCGGGACCCAAGAGCCAGTTATACAGCATGAAGCACCTCCCAGTGACCTAGAGTATGCTGCAGGAGTACCAAACAGAGCATGCCCCTCACCTTCACCTTACCCCCACCCAGTTAGTCCAGCTAATTCTTCCTTGACAGCACAAAGCCTGAAATATCAAACAAGACCAGAATGAATTCTTTGCCTAATCTCCAGGGGTACCTTGATTTAGCTTCCCAAAGCCAAGAGCCCCCCCCACCATACCCATCCTCTCCCTAGATTTCATCCCTCTACCCTGTACACATGGCAACTAGAACTCCTCCAGGACAACCCCTGTACAGACTGCTGTGGCTCCCATCTGCCTTGCAACCCAGTCCAAAGCTCCCTTTCCTGGCTTTGCAAACTTCCCAATGTTTCTTATACCTCCCATACCCTCCCTCTAATCCAGACTGGCCTGCCCCAGTGTAAGTCCTGCCTCCTTACCAACTTTTTGCTGTTTCCTGCATCTGAAATATCCTTTCTACTCACCCTCTGGTGTCTACATCTGGTATCTACTACCTCTTAGTGCCCTTCCCAAGGTGAGAGTTTTATCTGAGCTTCTTCCTACACTGTCCCAGCAGATGCCTGAAAGGTGAGTCACATCAAAGGCCCATGTGGAGCCAGAGAGAAAGACACCATGCAATAGAGTTAAGTGGAGGAGTTTTTTATTAGGGAAAAGGATGATAAAAAGGGAAGGGGAAAGACTGGTCTCCAGGCACAGGAGCATCTGAAGAGAGGAAAGAGGATGGGGGGGGGCGTAGGCAGGGACCTTTTAAAAGGGAACACAGTGAATGTGCACAGGTGGTGCTCTTAGTGGCTGGAGCTGAGGG